ACTATTACAGGTAAATTTTATTTACAAAATAGAAAAAAACAAAAAAAGAACTTTTCGTTATTTATTTAAGATTCATCAAATATGAGACAAGAATCAATTGATTATGTTCCACCTGAAATGTCAACTGATCATCATGATTCAGATGTATGTTATATAGATATTTAATGTGTCAGGAATTTTTAAAAAAAAAACGATCAAAAAATTCAATTGAAATATTATTATATACAGTTCAACAAACTCTACAATAATTAGAAACAAGCAGTTTCAGTTTATCGATTACCGATGACAGTATAATCAGAACCTATGTCGTTGATGAGACTATCAGTATTTACATAGCTTTTGTTTGGTTCTGATTAGAAGGTGGCAGAGAGCTTCTCAAAACTACAGAGAAATCATTTATTCATTCGTTTTTTTTTTTCAGAAACATAAAATTCTCAGTTAGAACTCTTAATACTTTCGTTATCAATTGTGAATACTTTTTTCTCGAACTTTCACTATTAGAGGAGGAATACAAAATAAATTAATTTAAAACTTTATTACTTTACTTAAAAAAAATTGATCGTATGCTTCTTATGGAAGTGTTGTGAATAACACATTTGAGAAAGTATACTATATCAGTATTTCAAGATAAGATATTCATCGGATATCTAACAAGCTACTTGTTCGAAATATGTTCAGCAAAAAAAGATACTTAAAGTTACTGTACAGATATTGAGCTGGATTTTATACATAATATTCTGCAGTATCTATTAAATAAATTTGAGATATGTTGATAATCAAATCGTACATTTGACATTTGTCTTTTTAATATATTACTCTTTAAAATATTGCAAACAGAACTTCATTTTTATATAAACAATCAATTCCACGAAACTATTAAAAATGTTCAGGTGGAAATACACCGAGTATTTATATCAACATTACACATAAGTAAAAAATAATATGTATAGCAAAAATATTTTAAGGAATAATATTGAGAGAACAGATCGGTTAACACTCGGCTCAAAGACTCGAAATTAAGTTTTGCTAGCTTGAAGATTTGTGAGATGTCTTTTCTCTCGCTCACTTACGAGGGAACCTCTTCAGATGTTAAATCACTTTTGGCTTGAGACTATAGTCATTAGATAGACCCTATTGAGATGTGCTCAGATTCATAAGGGTTCGGGTGCATGGGCTTCTGGGGGTGAGATATTGGATTTTTTAGGGTATTTTTCTAATGGGGCCTTGGTATTCGAGAAAAATCAAACTTTGGAATTTACACCTGAAACTTTGCCCAATTAAAGGTCTCTACTAGAGTAGATATCACACAAAATTTCAGATCTTTAGCACAAACCGTTCGTCAGCTACTGGTTTCTCAAGTGCGAGCTTCCTCCATGTAGGAGCCATAGGTATTTTGATTAGTTTATAGTTCATGAAAGGTTTGTGCTAAAGGTCTGAGATTTTGTGTGATATCTACTCTAGTAGAGACCTTTAATTGGGCAAAGTTTCAGGTGTAAATTCCAAAGTTTGATTTTTCTCGAATACCAAGGCCCCATTAGAAAAATACCCTAAAAAATCCAATATCTCACCCCCAGAGGCCCATGCACCCGAACCCTTATGAATCTGAGCACATCTCAGTAGGATCTATCTAATGACTATAGTCTCAAGCCAAAAGTGATTTAACACCTGAAGAGGTTCCCTCGTTAGTATAAATCCAGGAAAAGAGTTATGTATCCTTTAAGCTTAACGTTTGAATTTTGTTGAGAAAAGCTTTTTCTTTCATAAAAAATAAATACGTTTTTTTGAGCTCAGCATATAGGATTGTATTGTATGATTTATATTTTCTCAAAAAAAAAATATAATCTTATGAATTTTTTTTTTTTGAATTACTAACATTTTATATCTATGTTTTTGTTAAATTATTTTATTTTTAAATTAAGAATGAACACGAAGAAAATGCCGGTGAACAAGTACATTATGTTGAAAAACATGTTGAATTTACAGATGATTTAAATAATGATGAAGAAAATACGAGAGATCATCAACATCAACAAAAACTTCATCGACGTGATACACCACATCATTTAAAAAATAAACGTATTATTAATAAAAATAATGATTCAATTTCATTTGATGTAATAATTTTATTTTTCTTTAAAATTCATACTTACATTTTGAATTTTTTCTAGCAAATTATGTCACATAGTTCAACAAAATCATCATTAACAAGTCCAGGAAAAGAAGTATGTTTAGAAATAAATATGATTATAAAAATTCATAAGATATTAAATATTAATCATACCCATAAAAATTACATTTCTGTATAATCAGAAGATCTATCTATATTTTGAATTCTATTTAGAGATTTTTATTTAAAATGAAAAACTTCATTAATTTAAAAATAAAATTATGAATTCGAATAAAATACATCAAACTAAATAGTTTAATATTGTAGTTTGTCATAATCATATTTAAATAGTATAAAGAGTTTAAATCATTTATTGAAAAGTATTTCGGATTCTGATACAAATTAGAGATATACTGAGTTATCCTATCCTATAGTAGAGAGTTGCAAGTTCTTTCAGACCTAGGCTCGGATCTACAAAACGTGGACACACAGATCCTCTATTCTGCAGGATTGGATAAGGGTAAGAAAATTTTTCTCAGTCAGAGTATAGGATACGAAAAAGAAAACTTACTCTACACATCCCTAATACGAATTTCTATTGATTTCATTAATAATTAATCTTTATTTTTTAGTCGAGATCATCATCTATTCAAACAAATACTCGTCCGATGACACTTCATCAAGAACAATTAACACTTATTATTCGTCGTTCACCTAATACTGGTCTTGGTATTAGTATAGCTGGTGGTATTGGTTCAACACCTTTTAAAGATAATGATCATGTAAAAAAGAAAAAGCAAAACAATTATTTTTTATTTTTTATTTTTTTTTTCTTAGGGAATATTTTTAACAAAAATTAATGAAGAAGGACCAGCAGCTCAAGCTGGTTTACTTGTTGGTGATAAACTTTTATCTGTTAATGGAATATCATTAATAAATTGTGACCATAGTGACGCTGTATCTGCTTTAAAAAAAGCCGGTGATAATATTGAAATGATTGTTATACGTGAAATTTTACAATCATCTGATGATTATAATGAAAATAATTTAATAAAAGAAGGTGAAAAATTTTCAACAATTATTCAACGTGATGAAAAACAAGGTGGACATTTTGGTTTTTCAATTGCTGGTGGAAATCAAACACCAACAATAAATACAAATGAAAATTTATATATATCAAAAATTAATAATCAAGATAAAAGTTTATCATTAGCTGTTGGTGATCGTCTTTTATCTATAAATGGTTATGATGCAGGAAATATAACTCATGATCAAGCTATTGATATTATTAATAATGGTGGTAATAATATTGAATTAGTTCTCTATCGAGAAAAATTTACTAATGGAAATCAAAATATAACTACAACAACAACAGCAAATATTGATAATATAATTGAAGTTAGTTTGAAATAAAAAAAAAAGAAAAGAAATAATTTTAAAAAGTAATTTGAATGAAATATTTAGGAAGCACGTGTTACTAAAGGTAATGGTCCAATGGGTTTAAGTATTGTTGGAGGTATTGATCAAGCATGTCCACCATTTGGAATGAAACAACGTGGTGTATTTGTTTCTAAAGTAAGATAATTCGATGTTGAACTACTAAAACATTCTTTTTTTTCACGATGGAATTAGTCCAGTTGTAAACTATCATTTGAATTCATACTGGACTAACAAGGAGGTCTTGGTAAGACTAGAAAAGTCTGAAAAAAGATTCATCTTTATGGATTTTTGGAGACGAGTTTACGAAATTTTTTGGAACTGAAATTTTACCCATAGATAGATCGAATAACTGTTAGAATATTCCGAAAGTTTTGTTCGAGCAGAAGATTATGTTGTCGAGATATTGAATTATATATCTGCGACAAACGACTATTGTTTTTTGGAAATTCAATATCTCGATAAAGGAACATTCTTTTCAACTGAAACTTTCAAAATATTCTAAGGATCATTACTCAGATCGAGAAATATGGTCCGTTTCCTGCCGAAGAACGGTGTGTTTTCTGTGGAAGCCTACCGTAAACTCACGAATCCGATCGCCAAAATCATTGGTCTACATATCAACGAAATCTCAGATTGACATCCTATTATTTAATTGTCCAAAAAATCGATCAAAAATTTAGTAAAACACTCGTAACTCGTCTCCAAAGGCTGATGAGAATGAACTGTTTTTGGGCTTTTGCTAGTCTAACAAAAACTTTCTTGACGCTCAAGATGAGCTCAAACAACGAATTACAGTTGGCTTACGAGAGAACCTTCCAAGATATAGAATCTTTTCCATGGATAATGTAAACAGCATGCATTTTTTTGAAAGCTTCATATTTCGATGAGACTTTGTTTGAAACTTATGAATATTTTTATAGAAGCTAATCTAATTGAATTTTCTATATGCTTCAATTTTTAGACCAAAATTCAAAAATACGAGTTTTTCGAAAACCTGAAACTCCTAGAAAAGAAAATTCGATAGCTTAGTTAAATAATAGAAAGCAAAATCCTTTTAGAGTTTTTATTAAAACACTATGTAGTATCTATCAGCAAAAAAAATCACTGAAATTGGAAAGGAACACTTCAGAAGGTTCTCTCGTCAGTAAAAAAAGAGTTTATACTACTTGAAAAGTTCTTCCACAGTTTTTCAAGATTTAAAAAGAAAAAAAAATTACATCTTCTTGAATAGATTCTTCCAAATGGTTCAGCTTCTCGTACAAATCTTCGTATTGGTGATCGAATATTAAAAGTAAATAATCGTGATGTATCACAAGCAACACATTTAGAAGCTGTAGAAGCACTTTTACAACCAACTAGTGAAGTTGTTTTACTTGTACATCATGATCCACAACCATCAGGATTAAAAGTAAATCCAAAAGAAAAACAATTTTTGCCAAAAATTTCACATTATTTTTCATGATTATTTAGGAAGTAACATTAACAAGACAAGCAGGTGAACCACTTGGTATTAGAATCAATGGTGGTGTTGAAGGAAAACGTGTCAATCCAGATGATCCAGAAGATGATGGAATATTTGTTACTGAAGTCTGTTTTTCTAGTTTTATCATTTTTCTTTTAATAAAATTTTTTTTTTTAATTTAAAGGTAAAAGATGGTAGTCCAGCATCTGGTATTCTTTCTATTGGTACACGAATTCTTGAGGTAAGATCAACAAAAGTTTTTTTGCCTCCATGTGTGTTACTGCCATGATTGGCATGTTTTCTTTTTTGCCTCATTCGTTGATTGTATCCATATGTAACTATATGATTAAATATTAGTTTATATGCTTTATGACAAATGATTATCACCAAATAATAATATCAAAGAAAAAAATCCAGAAATTAGATACGACCGATATTGATTATTTAAATCACAATATGATTATTATTTGATTTAATTTTATATGAATTATTTATTCATCTATCAAATTGCTATTTGCTTCATTTGTAACTTCGTCTAGTAATTGCTTAGACGATAAATTTCGTCTAGAAAAATCGCTTATTCTAGACATTCAATAATATTTTTGATAAATAATGATGGCTTTGTCTTTCAGAAAAATCATTATCAATAAATAGTAATCCATCATTATTAACAATATCGATTGATGATACAATAAGAGATTATTGTGAAAACAAATCTTGATGATATTATACATTTAAATCAAATATTTTCATTTAATAAATCATCAAAATGTTCACAATCAAGTGAATTTATAAGAAGAAAAAAAAATCATTATCGACAATGAAATACAAAAAGAAACAAAATTATCTTGTGTATCAAGATTATTTCATAAGAAAAAGAAAGAAAGAAAGAATAGAATTAATATTTACACAATAAAGTTCTACACCAACTATTATATCTAAAGAGTTGATTTCAAAATTGTGTCAAGAAACATCTATTATCTCCTTCAAACAATATTAAATCAAAACCTTTACTAGAGGAATCTTCAACTATTCCAACACAAATTACAATAAGACTTCAACCTTCATATAAATCTTTATCTTTATTATTTGATTCTTCATCATCAATTTCAACACTAACATCATCAATTATTCAATCGAATATATCATCATCATCAACTTATCATCTAAAATCAAGTTTAAATTATAATCAATATTCTCGTAAAGAATAAATTCTTTAAAAAGATTGTTCTTATTGCTTTAGTGAAAATCTGTCATCAATTAAAAATGATTCTCATAACAATAATAATAAAAATTTAGAAAAAATTTCTAATCATTCATTAAATCTTTTACATGCTAAAGAAATGTATTTATTATCGACTAGTAGTTCAATAAATGAATGATGTTATTTATCATCTGAAGAATATTCTTCAATAGATGAAATAAAACAATTAAATTTAAATGAAATTATTTATACTATTTATTCAACAGTTGATAATAATAATAATAATCAATGAAATGAAATACTAGATGCATTAGCATCATTATTACAACAAACTGCATAAGAAACATCATTTAATTTACAAGATAATGAAGAAGATATTCTAAATATATCTGAACAAGTACCGAGACTTGATCAGATTTTTGTTCGAACTGTTCTCTATGAAATTATGATGAGATCTTTTAGTTTTTATTTACTTATTCTTATGTGTCGTATATAATTATATCTGAAGCCTACGAATTCTATTATATCTAATTAGATAAATCTTAATCGAATAATAAAATATTTTAGTGCAACGAATGCGGCTAAAAAATAAAAAGAAACTTACCAGTGTATTATCCAGTATGGAAACGGCATATCTACAAAGAACCGAATATAACTCTCCTAAAGTTTATGGTTATTCTACCATTTACTACGTGTTTGTGTTCCAAAAAATAGATATTTATCCTTCCAGAGTTTTAAATCGCCTTTCCGATAGAGAAAATCTGGATACAACACTGAAATTTATTATTGTTTTTCTTTTTTAATCCTATATATCTATTTCATTTAGGTTAATAATCAAAGTTTATTTGGTGCTCGATTAGATGATGCTCAAAAATGGCTTAGTATACCAACTGAAACAATTAATTTGTTAATTTGTCATGGATTTAAACTTAAAGAAGTAAAAAAAAAAAAAAGAAAAGACCTTTTAAATAATTTTTTTGTTTAATTTTTACTTTTTTTAAAACTTAGACAAATACTATAATTAGTCCAACGAAATCATCAAAACAAATCGATGCTAATCGATCATCATTAACACAACAATCTAGTTCACCAATACCACCAATAAGACATAATGGTATATTATCATCTCATAATGTTTCACATTCGCCAAAAATAACAAGTCCTGTTTATACAAATACTAAACAACAACAATCACCTCAACCACCGCCTGTTCCTGTTAAACCAAAATATCGAACACCAAGTACACAATTTGTGCCAATTAATGGAGATAATCATAAACAATCAAAAATACAATCACAAAATGGTTTTGAAGTTGATGAAGTAAATAATTTGATTTTGGAAATTAAAAAAAGAAAAAAGAATTTTACAATATGTTCTTTTTATTTAGTCTGATTTTTCAGTAACAGAATCAGAACGATCATTTAAAGATAAGAAAAAATTTTTTGAAAGTGGATTCAAAGATTCTGGACCTAAACCAAAACGTATATTGACATAGAATTTTATTTTTCTACTTCAATTAAATATTTTCTTTTAGCTCGACAATTTAAATATATTAATGAACATGAATTATTACAAATGAAACAAGAAGAAGGTAACAGTGAATTTCAAGTCTGAAGTCTATAGTATTTTCTCCCAGATCAAATGTCGATTGTTCAATAACAGTTATTCTATTTAACATGAGTTCTTAATGGTATCCTCTCTCTCCTGTTTCTCCCCGATGCTATGTGTGATCGAGTTGAAAATTTTTTTACCAGCAAGAGGATATTTTCTCCTTTGAATAAAAAAACCAAAATATTGAAGATACCCATGGTTTTTTTTTTCAATACAGCTATCAAAAATCAGCAGAGTGAATTTTTTTTTTGAAACAAAAAATAAATCTTCGTCCTAAACAGTGTATAGTGTATGTGAAAGAAAATTTAGTTCGATCGGATGTACTAGATTGAAGAAACGATGGCGTTTCTGTACTTTTTTTTCATAAAAAAGTTGATTTGAGAAAAATGCAAAAAATATATAGTTTTTGCTAATTTGATTTTTTAACATTTAAAGATAGTTTTTTAGATCTCCAAAATGTACTGAGCGGATAGATACTACTTCAGACTGTGCAATGATCACAAAAAAAAAATTTTGAGTCATGAAAGGGAAGACATTCTCTTAAAACCAACTTATGGCGCGAAAGTCTCGCTGCAAAATATTCTCTCATTTTTCAACCACGAAAAGACAGCTGGCTAAAGCCAGAATTAGAATTTTTCGAATATGCTGTTTTAAATTTCCTTCTGGATTAAGATTGAATAATTATCATCAGATTATTTCGAAAGATCTAAAATAATAATTGTACAAAATTTTGTATTCTGATTGACACTTATCAAATTCAAGATGTAAAACAGTTTTTAATGATTCAATTTTCTAGAGCAATATTTGTTCTTCAAAACATATTATTTACTTTTGTATGACAGATTTTTAAAATTCGATGTTTTTGAAACAGTAATTTTTTGACAAATATCGATTTCCATATAAACTACCTCCTTCGTGAAAATGCATAGATGAGATTTCACTTATTGTAATATCTCATTTTGTATAGAATTTAGCGTTCTATCATTATATTGACTTGCAGCTGTTCCAAGATATAAAGTAAGGATTGCACCGAAACGGTTATTTTGCTTTGTACATACTAGGTATGTATAGGAACAGTTTTAGCTTCGGATCTCGGAAAACGAAATTGCTAAGACAGGAATTGTGACTACAAGAAAAAGGTTGTCTCGACTGGAATTCAAGATTATAGTTAAATATTCTATGATTTGAAGCGAATTATCTTATAAATCATATCAATCAGAAATTAGATAATCCAAAGAAAGTGTTAGTCATCGACTGAATCAATCAAAAAACTGAACGTTGAAGAAGATACGAATAAGATCTCGAATAGCTTTCCTGTAGATCATGATAGAAACCAAAAACCAAAAACTTAGTTTCACATATCTCTAGTACAGACACTAATTTAGACTTTTTCTATAAGAGATGAATATAAGTTTTTCGATGATTTTTCGACTGCAGAAAAGAATATATGTAGGCGTCTAGAGATATATTCGGAAATAGTGAAGGATTCTAATTTTAACTCTAAGTAATTGTCTTTTAGTCGCTGAAAAATTTTCTGATTTTATGAAGTTTCACAGTTGACTTCTCAATTCTTAATTAGAAAAAAAAGGTTATTTTTAAATTCATTTTAGAACAAAAAATCAAATCGATGAGTCCAACTGAATTACTTCAATCTCGAACACTCTATACTGGTGATGTAAATGATTCTGAACTTATGCAAACAACATTATCTCAATATCAAACACCAAATTATCTTGCTAAGTATGAAAATTTTTGTTCTAATAAAGCGATAAAAGAAAAAAAAACAACATCTATAATTGATTTCTATTTTTTTTTGTTTTTGTTTATTTAGACCAGAAGAAGATCAAACAGATGATGATATTATTCAACAACAATCACGAAAATTACCATCGACTGCAAGGTAAAAAAAAAATTTATTTATTAATTTTGTATCAACAAGAAAATTTAATATACATGTTAGAATGCATTCACTCGAACAAGATAATGCTACTGCTCGTACAATGATGTCGAAAGTGACTATCGGTAATAAATAATTAATATATGTCTATGAATTTTGTTAGTTTTTTTATATTTGTTTTGATATTTTTTTTAAACAGATTCTGCTATAAATTAATGGAAAATCTTAAAATAAAAAATGATTTTATTTAAAAATAAAATTGATGATCAACAAATATACGAACTTATCTTCTTTTTCTTTCCCTTTATATATTTATGCAATTTACTGTTTCTTTGTGTACTGTACATAAACAGAGTTCTTCAATCTTCATCTTTTTTAATAGCGACATTTGTCACTGTTTAATTCTCAAGAAAAAAAATATATTTGCAAAGCAAAAAAAAGGATTTGTCGTATTTATACATAATCTTTATCTTGTTTCTCTTTAATTAATGAACTCATCATTTTTTGTTGTGCTTTTTTTTTTTTTTATTGTTTCTTCATTTTTTTTTCTCATTCTTAAGTAAATATTACTCGAATTGAATTGTTTCTTTGATTAATTCTATACATAATATGAAGAAAACTAGTTAGTTTTTTCATTCTTAATAAATCTTCTATGACAACATATAATCGATGATATATTGACATATTTCAAAGTATTCAAGAAATAACAACAGAAGAAAATAAGAAGATAATTATTATTTTTATTAAAGAAAAAAAGTTCAAAAGGTAACGGAAAACTTATTGTCAAAACACTAAGACTTACACTCATTGATATTAAAGGTTATAATGTATTCGACCGTTAGAGGATGGATGACTGTGAGAGAAAAGATCTCTTTCATCATCACCTATTCTTTTCTTGTCTTGTCCTATAACAAAATAGATATTTCAAATGGTGATTGGACAATTCGTTGCAGGTGTATCGATGTAGGTTAGAACCCGCCGTTCCGGATCTGAAAATTTTGGACTTAGTGGGCTCTAGTCGTCTGAGAAATGTGTAGGGTGGACTAGTCATCTAGTAGAAAAAGTAACTTGTATCTTTATGATGACTATACAATTCCGATTAGAAAATTTCATTGGGAGTATCAAAGTACGGTTCGATTGGATCCGAACATTTTGAACTTAACGGGTTACGAGAAATTTTTGGGTCTGATGGATTCCACCAGCCGGCCGTCAGGATGGAGTAAGGCATCAGGATAGGACAACAAGTTGTTCTGCACCCAGCTCTAGTATGGATGTTGGTGTGAGCGAAGATCTTTTGTGCACTCTCATTCACTCCCTAATCCACACATACACCCAGGGTTGTCAATCAGAGATGGAATCGGTGCGTGTTTTTTTTTTGTGGAACTGAATCGAACCCATCTCTGCTGCCAATTATACTTCATTTTGGGGTACAGTACCTCATCTCCACATTTTATTAGTATTTATTTTTTTTTAGAGATATAGACAACGATGAAAGTTAGGAGGAAGTATTCTGAGGTTGCACATAACTTGTATGGCAGTGATCAACAGAATCACAAACGTTTATTTAATTTCCTATTTAAATGCATTTGCAGACGATGTATTCGGTCATATGCATTACGCGTAGACATCAAGTCGAAATTCTATGATAACTGATACAGTTGCTGCTGCATTGACAATTCCATTAAACTGAAAAATTCAATATGCAGATTTTTATATAGTTGGACAGTCTCAATCAGAAATGATCAAATGTATAATAAACAAACAAAAATACAGTCATATAAAAAGATTTGCACCAGTCGATTTAAACAATTAGCGTTCGTTTTAATGAACAGTTTTTGTCTTCCTTTCTAAAGCAAATTATGAGCAGAATAGCATTTTTGTAAACTTATTTTTCCAGGAATAAATGAACAATACAGATAATTTCTTGCACAAAGAAAGATGATTATCAAATACAATTGTCGATTCGATAAAATCGTGGAGAGTTACTTCGATGTATCAATATAGTAGGAATTTTGTTGTGATGTTTTCATATTGACATCTTTCGACATAACAAAATGACAATTTTCAAGAAATTAATAAATTCTTTGATGAAAATTATCCGAAATTAACAAACATTCTTTGTGTTTCGGAACAAAAGTTTGACTACCGAAATAGGAAATTTATATATGATAATATATCCAACATGAAACAAGAAAAGATATAAATAAAAGATGATGAATTCGTGTTGAAATTCAACATGACTGAAATCAAAATTCAATCTAAAAAAAGCTTTCTTGATGCTTATTTAAAAAAATGCAAAGTTGTTTTTTTTTGACGAATATTCAGACATCATTATTTTTATCAATTCTCAATCTGATGAAGATCGGATTCAAGTTTCATAATATGCTCAGTGTGCAATTCAAAAATAAAATGGAAACATCATTGAACAAATTTCGAGAAAATCATAATGATTCGTTGCAAGAATTGAATTATTAGACAATTTATATAAAAAATGAAAAAGAAAAAAAAAAACATCAAATTTTATTACGTATTCAGTGAAAAAGTAATATCGTTAGTGTCCTATAATCTTTTTTTATAATTGAGACATAAGAAATTCAATGAAAAAATTCTCATATTGACAATTGATTTGATAAAACTGAAAGACTGTGTCGATTAAAAAGATTATCATTTACTCAATTGTGAAACTGCGATCTCTGACTTTATGAAAACATCCGTCAATTGATGAAAGCATATGCTCCTCACGTCCGATGCTAAAAATAAAGTATTTAATATCCAATGTTTGAGAATTAATGTACTCTATCCAGTCACGATCTTTTCAAGGTTATTGATGTTATCATTCCAATACAAAGTCAGATGCATTGAAAAGTATTCTTTGCTTTACGAGATAGCTTATGTTTATGACACATTTTTATTTTCATACCATCGGATATAAAAATTTAATTATAAATCAAATAGTATGATGATAAAGATAAACAAGGAAAGCTTCAGGTTGTTTTGAATTAAAAAAACTATAATAGCAATTATTTGTTGCACTAAGAGTTTTTTTTTCGATAGTTCTACATTTTTCACTTGTAATTTTTTTCTCTCTTAAACTCTGAAACGTTTATTAAAGGATGAAGAATTTTACAGAGAATGTTCTAGAATAAATAAAATGTCAACCAAAGAACATTCTCAACAATCTTTCATGTCTTTTTTACCTTTCTTTGGTCATTGCAATTGAATAGATGAGTAGGTGCTTATCATTTCAATTCTACGTTGATAAGAAAAAAAAATTTATAAACAAAGTCAACAGTTTTGTAGCACCAGAAATTCTCTATCCAATGAACTTTAGTAATTATATTGAGGATTGCAACAAAAAAAAAGAAATAAGAACAACATTTTGACCTATTTATTATGCGCCACGCATTATAACTTGAATCATTAAAACGATTGAAATTTTACAAACAAATTACTCTTATCACGATTTCGATAGAGCACGGAAGTAGAAGTACACGTATATGATAAATAGAAGACCCTTACTTTACCAATAAGTCTTTGTATTTGCTCTCATTTATCTATATCATAAACACATACACGTACAGACTGACTGATTCTCAACATTAGGATGTTTATTGTATGAAAGCAGAAGTTTATCTTGATAAGAAAGCAAAGTAACTATGTCAATCCAAATGACGTAATTATTTGTTAAACTATTTATATTTAAGAAAAAGATTAAGTTTTTGTTAAAAGCGTTTTTAGCAAATTTAACAAGTTGGTTGAAAAGAACATATTAATACTCTAAATTAGTATGACAACATAAATATGCATCGAGAAACAATGAGAATTACTCAAGTAGCTCCAGGAAATGACAATAATAAATGAATAAAAATTGTTTACGGTAACTTATCAAAATACATAAATAAATAGAAAATGACGAAATAAATCATGAATAATCTCTTCCTAGTATATTATAAGTTATGATCATGTTGAACCAAAACAACTTTAAAAATCGTTTCTTGCCTTCCAAACAACAAACATACTCAATTGTAACTGTAGAATAATCATATTGTAGAACTCATATGTATTTTTGAAGAAAATAGTGAGTGTAAATTTTAAGTCGAAGTTTCACGGTTCCTCTTCCCTCTCCATTACAGACTTTAGTAACTGAGAACAATAGGTGTCAGACTTTCTAGAGTTTTTTTTTGCAAAATTGCTGCAGTTATAATTTAAAAAAAAATGAATATCATTGTTTGTGAATTAATTAACATATATAATAGTGCGTAAGATCTATTGTAGATATGATGGATATATAAATTAGACTTATTGTGAATTAATTCAATGATTACAATAATAAGAATGTTAAATTAAGAAAAATGAATTAAAAAAAAGAATGAATAGCAACAATGCTAACAAAAAGATAAAGCAACCGTAGAAAAAATAAAAAAAAATACTTCTATTCAAAATGCAGAAATTAGAGAGATCCATACTCTGATAATCGATTATCCTACAAAACAACTATCGTCTACGAAAGATTTTTCACTTTACATATTTTTTATTAGGTTAATGAACATATGTGAGTTCCACATTTCAATTTCAAAAGGGCTATGCTAATAGACTTTTTTCTGCTCAAAAAATGAATGTTATTTTTCTTGAAAATTTAAAATAAAAAAGTATTATAAATAATTAAAATAATCTATCTGATGTCTTGAACTGACGTGCTTGTCTCAAGTAGACAGATTCAATAACTTCTTTCGAGTTTTCATATTGAAAATACAAATTAATTCATTATTTTCAATTTTTACTTTTCCATAATGAATTACCATGAAACAATGAAAGATACATTACGTGTCTTCTTCGATTCATAAAACAAAGAATGCCTAGTCAACTCAAAAACGTGCTTAACATATTTTAAATAGAACTCATCTTGTTCAGGATTGTGTTTGTCATTTAACAGAAAGATATATGACAAAACATGATTAATAAGTTTGTTTTATAAAATATGATTAAAAGAACATAATTACATACATGAGAAAACTAGTTTTGAATAAATCATATACATCTGCAATCGTATAATTTGTTGGAGTCAAACAGTGCAATTTAGGAGGGAAAAAGAACAAAGATAAAAATAGATGTTTATCCTAAAGTGTTGATAATCTTATTTTTCTAGAGTTTTCTATTGTATAAATAGAAATTCTTTATCGTCTATGAGAATAAATATATAATGATAAATAAATCAAATAATAGAAGCATTTTAATATTAATATAAGAATTTTTAACATGTTTTCATAAATTACTCATGCATTGGCAAGAATAGAAAATAAAATACAGCAAAAGCACATAGAATGAAGATAATAATAATGTTTACAATATGTAATGAGGACCAGCTCTTACATTAATTAATCATTATTATTAGCAACACTATTTTGATAGCTAACGCATACAAATATTAAATACCAATAAGCAGACAGCCGATCAACGAATTTCACAAAAAAAATAAAATAAAATAAAATAAAATAAAAAGAGTATGTTTTGTCTTGTTTTTTTTTTAAAAGAAGTCTATTTCTGATATATTTGGTGTAAAAAGGTCCAAATCTGGAATGTTGTTCATATTAAATACATCATTAACAGTATCAAATACTGAAAATTTATTCTTTGATCTTTTCTCTTCTTCATCAAGCCAATTAAAAAGTTCATCAATATGACCAAGTTCTTGTGTTCCAGATGATAAGAATTTGTTATTAAAATGTGTTGCAAATGGAACCTGTGCAATATATTGAGGTTGATCAAAGACACTAAAATTTTCTTTTTCCATGTATTCATAATCAATTCGTTGCCGTTTATATTTTGGTTTATCATTCATTGATAAACATTGATCATTGGGTGCTTGAATAAAAAGAAAAAAAGATAAAATAATGAAAAAAAAATAAAAATAAATAGTAAAAATGGAATTACTAACACATTGAAATATTTGTTGTTGTTGAATTATTTAATATTATATTTGACATACACATTGATTCTGATTGAATAAAAGCTTTTCGTCGTTCACTATTTTGTTTATTGATATAATTAAGACATTGATATCGCATGAGAGGACTAAATTATAAATAAAATAGAATATTTTCAATTTTGGTACGAAAAATAAATATTTAACATACTCAATAAGCTGTGCTAGAAAACCTAATTTTATTCTTTTACGTCGCCCTTCAATCAACGTATGTGTATTGCACAGAAAAGTAAGACGATCACCATTATGAGTAAACAGATCAAGGACACTCATAAATGTACAATGTGGACCTGACACTAAAAACAAAAATAAAACACTTATCAAAATTATACTAAACTATTATTAAAAACTAATCGTACGACAATTTTGTTTTGCTTGTTCTATTATATCCCAACATTCTGTTGGTAAAATACGATAAATTGATTGATCGATTAATTCATTTGGCTTATAACCTAATAAAAATTCCGTACTAAAACAAAAAAAAAAAAAAGAAATGAATATTTTTTTTATTTTTATTTATAAATAAAAATAAATAGAACAAACTTTGATGAAATTTCACTGATATTCAGTTGATCCGTAAGAACAAATCGAAGTGTTGTTGCACTTGTTGAACCAGTACCATTTGTTGGAATATTAGGTGTGCTTGAAAGAATTTGTTCACAACGTGCCACAAATAATGGTTCTTGACTTTCATCATTTTCAGTAAAGAAAAAATGACCTGTCAACACCATTGACTAGAAAAAACAAATTTTTATTTTTTTATTAACTAAAGAATTTATTTGTTAATTAAATTTACTTTCGTTTCTGTATTTGATCGATTAGGACGTTTACCTCGTGGTAATATCCAAGTGCAAATAGCACGTTTTTCATCCATTGTTGGTGTTGAAAGAATTTGACGGATCGTATCATGATCATTTTTACTTATACAATCATAAATACTTCTTAATTGAGGATAAAGTAATCGCTTAAAAATACAAAAACAAAAAAATATTATTATAAAAAAGAAATTTCTTTTAATTTTTTTTTCTACATACAACATTTTTACGTAAATAATATTCAACATTATCACTAATTAAAATAATTCTACCAGTTGTATTGACTGCAATAATAAAACCTTTAAGATCATCTGTAATCGATGAACTTTGAATGCCAGCTGCTAATTTAGTATTTCCTATAATAATAATAATAATAATAGATGAATTATTAATTTGATTATGTTCTATTTTATTTTTTGATATTCTTATTTGACTTACTATCAGCAATATCAGATGACCAATATTTACGGCGTAAAAGACGTGACAGCGTCAAGCTGAGTATATCATTTTTATTGAGTTTATTATTATCAAGATCATCAATAGATGAATCCATAAAAAGTTGACCTAGGGCTTCCAGAGCTTGACTAGTTTGTTTTCGTCGTTTATATGGTGTACTGTTACATTCTTTCAAAGAATTTGCAACAGATATTGGTTCACAAAATGAACGCTAAATGATTATAAATTTAATTTTTTAATTTTAATTAATGAAAAACAAAAAGTAATCTACCTTGAGATTACGTTGATGAGACATGTGCTCGGCACGAAAGTCGTTCAACGACAATATAATTGTCTTCGGAACTGTCCAGCAGTTGAAGAATAGAAGTATGCAGAACGAACTAGCGTCTTACAAAGAGAATACACGCACCACAACGACACAAAATAGAAGAATGCCGAGTGTCGATAGTTTTGGTATTTACACGGTCACCTTTTTTTTTTCTCTCTTTTTTGTTTTTTTTTTCTTTCTTTCCGACGACCGTGTATGAGAGAAATTACATTCAATCCTTTATTTTTTACAGATTTTTACCTGTAATCATTAAGAAAAGAGAAGACAACATCATATCTATGTAGTTGACGTCGACCGCCTACTTTATTCTTATTGTCAGTTTGTCAAATATCTTTCATTGTTATATTGATTCATTTTTTATTTAGATTCTATACCCCTATGACACTTATTACAATAGTATGAAAGAAAAGTATGATAAAGAAAGAGTATATATCTCTCTGTCCCTTCTTTGTAAAGTCGAAGGGATTTAATGCGCAAATAAACTTTGAATGGTGACACCTTGAACTGACTAAGGTGATGATTATCTTAATCATTGATTTTATTTCTATTTCGAATAGATTGCAATAAGAGATTTTTTTTTTTTTTTTGTTCAATTTTTATTCGTCGATTTTAATAAATAAATAACTTCTATCAGGCATGTTATATTTTATTTGTTTAGTATGATGAAATATGATCACTAAATAGAAAATGAAAATTGAGAAAACAAAAGCAAATAAAAGTGTCATACATTTGAAAACTGCGCAACAAGTGCTTATGAATATAAAGATAGGAAAAAAAAAATCTTTTATATTGTCCATTATTAAACAAAAAAAAGGCATAGACATATGAATACAAAATCTCGAATTAATCTTCAAGCAATCTGAATCATAAGGAAATAAATAAAGATGATAGCAATTTTTTTTCTCATTTAATTAAGTTCCGTTATAAAGTAATTTTTTTCCGGTACTATTTCAATTAATCTAAAAATCTTAAATTACTATGTCTACTGTCAAACGAAACTTAAAAGTTTACTCTTATGTTATATCAAGAGCGAAGAATGAATTGGATAAATGCAAAAATTCATATTATATAATAAACATTCACTTTATTTATAAAAAAAAACAATCGGAAGACAAGCTAGACGAATTTTTAAATTATAATGACTGTATTATATTTAATAAATAATATTTCTACAAGTTCAATATTTATATAAAATTCGTGATTTGAGTACGCTTGATGACATATTAACAATATTAGACTCACAATAAAAAGTTAGTCAATAAAATAACGATGATGAATATGTTTTTTTTGTAAATGACAACTATTTAAATAACCAATAGTATTTCAACTCCGTAAAATACAACAAATATAGGCTTATAGCTAAGCAAAAAAACAATACTACGTATGATTAATCGTATCTGTCAAAATATATCTTGTCTAATCCGATTTTTGAGATATAATTTGATTGACAACAATCATTTCTTTTTAACAATCACAACAAGAGTATTCAGAGTAATTGAATGAAAGTATCTCTTTTGTTTTATAACTATTCTTGAAAAGAATACAGGAATATATCTTCAATAAATTCAATTTTCATTTGAAAAGTACAATCTTTGATAATGACATTTTGATTACTATAATTAACAAAAATAAAATTCATTATGAAAATATCTTTTTAAGTATTGATTTATGTTCTGGATATTTATAAAAACTAGCGTTAGATTTAATTTTCTTTTCGGAGACACTCTTGATAACATCCTATTCTCTAAAAACATTTATGGTTATAATTATTTGTAGCCGACAATTTTTATTATAAAGAAACAACTTTTCTTTCAATAATCTCTGTCTCGTTTGCATGTAAAAGATAAGTTTCAAAGTTATTAATTCTCTTATTATAAGAGATGGAAAAAAGACTAAAAATAATAAGTTTGATAATTCATTTTTCAATCTAAAAATTTAATAAGTATAGTTTTTCCTTACATAGAATTATTTATAATAGAAATCGAATAAGAATTTTTATAGTCTCATTTTTTTAAATGAACACTACCAAACTGACAGAGCTATTTATTTGTCAAGACAATTATTATTTGAACTAATAAATCATTTCGATTGACATTGTATAAATTTAATAATCAGAAGTAATTCATTATCATTAGATGTTTTATTTGAAAAATGTGATGATGAAAAGTATGATTTAAATGTTTTTTTTTTCTTTATACATGTTCATACGATTACAGAAACCCAATCAATTAAAACTATAAAATCTACTAGTTATTTAGTAAAATGAAAAAAAAAAATCAATGTTATTCTTTTGTCGTTGGTAAAAGTTTAATATTTCGATTTAACATTTGTTGCCGTTGACGTCTATAAAAATATTAACAAGTTAGAATTCAATAATACATTCAAAAAAAAAATACTTTTTTCGGTACATCAATATTAAGTTTTTCGGCTAATCGTCTTCCAAAATCATCATCAACATTGGCAAATACAGCAACTACACGACGTATTATGTCTTTATCCGTACATTGTTGTAAATGATCAACAATATTATCAATTAAATGAGCACGACCACGATCATCTAATACTTTCTTTAAAAAAAAAAGAATAAATCAAATAAAATTTTTTTTTTTTTGCTTTACGAGAGAATCGTCCAAAGTCATTCATCATTTTTGAGTCTATATATTGATTATCAAGACTAGAATTCTTGTACAATAACTCGGATTCATTACATGTTATAAATGAGTTCAAATCATTGTACTGATAATTTTCTTCTTCGAAAGATTCTTTTAAAAAAAATTGAATTAAACCGGTATGAGCTACAAAATTTCTTGAAAGATACTCTCAACAGTAATTTTTTTTTTTCAATCTAAAGATATCCATGTTTTTGTGAAAAATTTTCAAATTCTCTGATTCAACGCATTGCTTGAAGGATTTCACCTATTGCTCTTATGTCTAATAACTCTAATACTTAAGGGATAAACGACGTACTTTCGTACTCTCATGGTTCTCTTATACTCCATGTGCTTCCACTCCACTCTCATTGTTGTTTTGTACTTTTACTGTACTCTCATACTTCAGAGTGTGGAAGTACTTTGTTTTCTCTTCAATAATACCTCTATAGAGGTAAAAAGGTATAATTTTTTGAATTTGTCGCGAAATCGGATTTCTCATCAACTCCTATCATCGTGTTCTTCTCTAAGTATAGTTTGATATGACGTTGGAAATGGTGACTGTCTCACTAAATTCTATAGACATAGGGAAGCCAAGAGATTCTGCTAGTTGCATCTTATAATACTACAATGAGCTTCGCTTTTTAGATCTGGAAAAATCTGTACTGAAAAAAAACGATTTTTGAATGGTAATTAGCTAGAAAATGAGGCTTTTTTTAACGTAAATAGTTGATTTTTTAAAAGTAACTACCAGGTAGTGTGTTGATCACGAGAGTTTCAAACAGCTTCTAGGTTTAATTAAAATTAGAATATTCTAAAAGGTTCAGAAAAAGTGATTATGTTTGTCTTGAGATATCGAACTTTTAAATCCGATACTCGAATTTTTCTTACAGACTGAATATTTCAAAACAGATACATTTATTTTTAGTTGAAATTTCGAGAAGATTCTATTTTCAATTCCACCGGATCTACTAAGAAACTTTTAGATAAAAATTGCTCAATTATCATGAAAATATAGACTTAAAAACGTAGTGAATCACTTCATATGATTTTCTTATAGGTGATTTATCTTACTTGATAGAAAACTCGTGGTTGAGTAAAGTTATCATCTTCACTTGCTTCATGTCGTGCTGCCAAGCCTGATTCAAGTGTTGCATGTTCAATATGTTTGTCACGATTTGTTACATCTGGACCATTAAATGAATTTCGATAATAAGTTGGAGCACCACCTGTATTTTGAAAATTAATTCTTCTTATTTTATTTTGTTTTTTTGATAGATAAATTAATTAAACTAACCTTGATTATGACATGCTTGCATTGTACCATCACGTTGATAAGTACAAACTTTAACATTTTTATTTGTTTCAGGATTATTAACTGGAATAAGAAGATGATTGGTTCCAACACGATGAAGATGTGTATCAGCATATGAAAAAAGTCGACCCTAAAACATATTTAAAACAATCGAATCTTCATGGTTTATTATTTTTGTTTTTAATACTTGTAACATTTTATCTGGTGATGCTTCAATTCCTGGTGGCATATGTGCTGGTGAAAAAGCAGCTTGTTCAATTTGAGCAAAATAATTTTCGGCATTTTCATTTAATGTCATTTTACCAATACGACGTAATGGAAACTCTTTTTGTGAAAATACTTTTGTTAAATCAAATGGATTAAATGGAAGATTTTGTGCTTGCTCCTGTGTAACAACCTAAAAATTAATTGTAAAAAAAAATTCAAAAGTTTTCTTTCTTGTTTTTTTTTGCTTATGATTAAATATTAAATACTTGAATATAAAATGTCCAACTTGGATATTCTTTTTTAGCAATTGCATTATAAAGATCAGCTAATGCATAATCAGGTTGTTCACCAGCTAAAATTTTTGCTTTTGTTGGATCAATATTTTTAATACCTTGATCAGTCTAAAAAAATGAATTTTGTTTGAAAGATTGACAAAATAAAATAAGTTTACTCGAATATGAAATTTAACCCAAACAAATTCATTTTTATCGTTAACCATTTTAAATGTATGTGAGCTATAGCCATGCATGTGACGAAAACCATCTGGTACTCCACGATCAGAATAGAGAAACATAAACTAAAATACAAAAAAAATCTTGATTTTTTTAAATTGAATTTCTATAGAAATATTTGAAAATGACTTGATGTGTAGCCATTGGATGATTAGCAAAAAAATCCCAAACCATATTTGGATCTTTTAAATGTGTTTGTGGATTTCGTTTTTGAGAATGAATAAACATTTGAAACTAAATTGAAAAAAAGAAAAAGTCAATATAGTTAAGTAAATATCAATATACATACTAAAAATGGATCACGAACAAAAAATATCGGTGTATTATTACCAACTAAATCCCAAATGCCTAAACAAATATAAGAAATATATAATTTTAGGTTTTTTTTTTTCTTCAAATAATGATTTACCTTCATCAGTATACATTTTAATAGCAAAACCTCGTGGATCACGTACTGTATCAGCTGAACCACTTTCACCAGCTAGAAACAAAAAATAGATTGTACATCGTCTAATACATGTGATCAATGAATTTGATACGTACCAACAGTTGAAAAACGTACAAGAAGACGTGTTTTTGTTCCTTTCTTGAATACTTTAGCTTTGCAAATATCCGATAAATCATCAGTTGCTTCAAATACACCAAATGCACCACCACTTTAAAATAGAAAAATATAATTAAATATTTTCTTTATCTATATTAAAACCAACCCTTTGGCATGAACAACCCGTTCAGGTATTCGTTCACGATCAAATCGTTGAACATCTTCAATATAAGGAAAATCAGAAAGCAACAATGGTCCTCGTGGACCAACAGTAACAACAGTAGATCGTTCGCCAAGTGGACGACCATAACCAGTTGTTAATTGTTCAGTTTTCTATGAATATAAAATATTATTACTTTTAGACAAAATAAAAAAAGATCTCTTACGTGTGATTTTTTATAATCAAGTATTTGATTATCGGATGGACCATCTTCTTTTAAATCAGGCTGCTTTGTATTGGCCATTCTGAAATGAATCTAAAATAATCGGAAAGCAAAATGCCTAAGAATATGAAATAAATATAAGTGCATGTATAAGCGCAGGTCTTTATCTTTTTATAGACTAGATTTGATGTTATCGCTATTTGTATTAGGTCAAAGTAAAAAAAAAAAGCACTTTTGCTTCGTCATTCTGTCCTGGATTTAAAGAGCGTCTTACTTAACTTGAATAAATAAAATGCAAATCATCACTGAAATGTATTTATATGTTTAAATGAATTTTTTATTAAATATGAAAGCTAAATGCAACAAGGATAAAAGAAAAGTAAATTTCAACTTTTTTTTTTACTAGATATAATAAAAGAAGTGAACATTGGACTATTAAAAATCCACTTGAAAGAAATAAGAGATAAGCAGCAGTATATTGTTTTTTTACTTTGTTTTATCAGCTGCGTTTTTTTTTCCTTCGTTTTCGATTTATTCATTGAAAAAACAGACAAAAGAGGACGCTCAAAATCAGTAAATGATCAATCTTTGATAATTTTTGTTTTCATATTTTGAAGAAATTTTGCATGAGTTTTTTTCGCATCTATTAGTTAATTAATGTTGAAGAAATATATTATCTGAAGCTATTTTTGTCATAGCAAAATTTTTTTATTTTTGTTTCAACAGCGTAGGCTTTTACTAGTGACGATGCCAAGGGTGACTGAGAGTGGATCAGCTTCCTCAAGAAAGCTTTGAGCTTCCTCTAGAAATGAGACGATCCTTTATTATAGAGGAAGAAAATACCTGCTTTTCAGTTTCAAATGGAGACTAAGCCCTCCTACAAATTTTTTCGAGTTCCGGTACTAGTTTTTTTTTTTTTACGAAGAGTGATATATTTCAATGCAATCTCCGATGGTGACATGCCATAATTGTTTCTTATTCAATTTCCGCTTAAAATTTTATAGAAAAAGAAAATACAATGTCTTTTAAGTAGTAGAAAGATGAAAAACATTTTTTTTTGACATTACACTTCATACAGTATGAGAGCGACTGCTTTAGAAAAAACTTAATTCTAGACATTCTTTCTTATTTTTCTTGAAAGAAAATACTACATCATTTCGTACAAATGGTTATAGATATGAGTCAAACGTATCTTTTTGAATTTACGTTTCAATAGGAAAATGTTAATGCATTTTATTTGCTCTGTTTTGTAGAATGTAGATATTCTATGTCTGCATCTAATAGAATAAGCTCATAAATCGAAATCAGATCATCATCATATATTGATAAGGAAAACACAAATCATAGAAGAAAAATGTGTTTTTTTTTGTTACAAAAAAATTGTATTTCAAATTTAGATTTTATTTCTGAGAGATTTTCAATTTTCTTTAAAATTATTAATAAATATTATAATGATATTAAAATAAGAAGAAAATCTAACATTTCAAAAAACATTCTTCAAAATTGTAAGATTGAGACCTAGATTCTTATTATACTTCATCTACATTGGTTGTTAATTAAATGAAAGCGAAAAAGAAGTTGAACTGTGATAAAGTTAGTTTCCAATTCGATTGATTGGAAACTTCTATTAAGTGAAGTGAATAACATTGTTTCCGCGGTTAACATGTTACTTACACTTATTTTTATTTCTCATGAAATTGAGAATAGTAAAAAATTGCTGTTATCCAAATAGTTCCTTTGAATATGAATATAACATGAATAAAAGTTACATCAATAAACATTGGTAGAACGATTAAAATTGCTAAATATTATGATCCTTCTTCAGTGAATGTCTCCTTATGTATTAGTTTCATTATTCGTGATGAACTCGAATGTAATTGAACTTACTAAACTCGTACACGCACGTTTTCTACAAGCATTCTAACGTGTCTGGTCTGTTAGCATGTTTTGATACAATTGATATCATAAATACATTTGGATGGTTTCTAGATCTAAACACGTTTATTAGTTAGTTTCATTTAGACCCGTTCGAATACGTCTTATACATCAGATGCACTACATTACATTCTTGATTAAACGCAAGTAGTAAACATATGTTGACCCGTTTTTAGATCTCGCCTGACTATGTAGGTTAACTAAAATCTTAAGCAAAAAATGATACAAAAACGACTTGACTGTTGAAGGAAGTGAAAGTTCGAAAACATTTCCACGCATGATTTTGCTTATCGTTATCTAAATGAATACTGTTTTCAATAATTGGGTATGTTCAAGTGATATAAGTTCAAAAGCAAGCAAAATTGTTTTTTGATTGTGGTATATTTTCAGAATTTCTCATCAGAAAACGGCTTATTTGGAATCAGAATTTTTATTAAATTGTATATATCAAACAGAAATACTCATAGCAAGCATCCACACACATGAAACGATAGTACATGATAGCAAATGCGTATTGTCGTAACGAAAAGTGTTTTGTTTTCTGTGATAATCGAGGAAGACAATATCTAGAAGTTGTTTATATTTTTTTTTTATCAATAGGTTTTTAATATGAACTATAAAAAACGATTGATTAACATAAACTAACAGTGTTGAGATGTTGGTTTCAGGTTACTTGCGCTGATACGCATGTCTGATAGAATGTTTTTCAGATTGTTAACCACGGACGGTGCTAAAGTTTTTGTTCGTCTAAAAATATATCATATTGTGGATTCGACTTGAGTTGAATCCTGGAAAAAACCTGAATACTTACGAAAGGAACCAAATGAATTCTCATTTACTAACGATAGGAATATTTCTACACGCATAGACGAGTGAATAATTCACATAATCTGTGGCAATAACATTGTAGTCGCCTTTTTGATCTATAGAGACAAGAGAATACTAGAAACGCCATTTCGCAAACGACACAAATTCCGCTTACTTGGATTATCGAACGTGACTTGGAATGCTGCAGGTTCGAGCGAATTTTTCACAGTAGTCAAACCTTTAATACTAGTGTAATGACCGAACAAATTGATAGCCTGATTCCAAACACCAATAGATCCATCAGGATTTAGTGTGCATGTAGCATTGACACATTTAGAGCCGAATTCGAAGATAACATTGCTTCGATAGGCTACGTACCACAGACTGGCATACTTAAAGATGATGCCACAACAATAATAGAAATGAGTTGCTCGCAGTATCTCTATTAGAAATAGCTTACTTTAGTAACATCAAAATCGTTTTATGTAGCTGTGTTTGGACATTGGCTTGCATATAAAACACTGCTACGAGAGAGAAGAAAACAATGGCAACAATAGTCAGTAACAACATGATGACACGTACGCAATATCAGCCTTTCACGTTTTTCTAACTTTTATATATATATATGTATGCTGAATTGTGCGCACAGGTCATTGTTATATAACTTAGAGCGGTGCATAGGTGCGTTAGATAAATGTCTGATGGGAAAGAAAGCAAGTCAGTATAGAGAGATGAAAACAATCAATAGTGACGGTATTCATAAAGGCCAAAAAATATTGTGCTTTGCATAAGACAAAATACATTTCGGCTCTGAAATGTCAAAACAATGATTATATCGATGTCGTAACAAGTCATCTGGTGTTCTATATGCCATTTTTCGCTCATATCAATAATTTATCGACGATTGTCAGCAGTCATAGATATCATGAATACTTCATCATGTATTATGTTTAGATTCACAATTTGTACCGCTGCTATCAACTAGTTCTAATTGATCGAAGTGCATGGTTAGCTTTACCCAGGTCGAACTCATCCCATTGGATCCGATGGGAATTCGTCGGAATCCTTGGTACAGGATTCCGACAGGATTTGGGTCCTTTCCGACATCCGACAACTTCCTGTCGGAATCCTGTACCAAGGATTCCAACAACTTCCGATGAATTCTTGTCGGATCCGATAAAATCCGATAATTTTCCTGGCAAGATCCGACGGAATCCGACTGTCGGATTGCTCGTCCTGGGTAATCAACTTTGTTCGATAGTGTGGCTCCTTTTGTTATTTGGTCAACTGGAATTATCGCCAGTTCGTTCTAGGAGACCAATACTATATTATGACCGTATAGTTGTTCAGAATTGTCAAACAGATCCGTATGAATCAAGGTACTATCGGTTTTAAATCTGGTCAATCATGATTCTTTGGGATCCTATCATACAAACTATGAAAGACGTTGATTGAAATGATTCGTTGAGAATCTTTTATTGCCAACTCTGCGATAAATTTCTGTTTTCATACTCTGGAGATATTCTCACGAACACGAAGGTCACAATTTCATTAGAAAAGTGAACGTACGCATTTTGTCAAATTTAGTCTTCAAGGAAACCATCTTACTGGGAAATTCGAGTCTTCATAACTTGGGTCCAATTAATGAATCGATGGTACGGTATTGCCATTGTTAAAAAATTTATCTAGTCATTTCTGAGGACACTTACATTTCGAGTGACATATTGACTAATATAGAAGGAGATTCGACAAACGACTCATTACATCAATGATTCTTTTTAATGTTGTTCGATCAGATTCTTACAAGAATGACATCAATATTGGTTCATTTGGATTTCGATTCCAGTGACTCTTCCAATTCTTCACATCATCACTCAGTTATAAACATGCGATCAACTCAATAATCCCATAACGAATAATATGTAAAACTAATTTGATTTCGTCATCAATCAATACTACTTGTCAGTATTTTCAATGGAAACACCAACGTGCGCCGTCTTTGACAAATGACCTTGATAATGGAAGATGAAATGCTAACTAGTTGTTTTGATTTTCTAAGTCACTATGCATACGTTTTTCTTCGAGTAAGTCTCATTATTAAGGACATGAGTAACAGTTATACCTTTCCAAAGTATATAATGCGGATTAAACTCAGGGAATCTGATTGACGATGTGAAAAAGTTTTAATTTATTAATTGATGTTTTAACCATGAAGATTAGATAAGGTTCAGTCAATACAGACAATGGTGGAATATTAGAACATAGAGTGATACTGGCATATAATTAATCTCACAAGGGAACCTCTTCAGATACTAAAAAGCTTTTGAGCTCAAATTTCG